ACGGTGAACCAGACTGTCGCGATCGGTCAGACGAGATGAATTGTCCAGCTCTGCGACAATGCGAACCGAATGAATTCAAGTGAGAAAGCAACTTCAAATCTTGACTTTACTTACGAACTTTAGCTTAAGTTAGGCAGCGTTCATACTTCGCGACGGCAGCGCTTCAGACACGCTCTTGACGCGATTAATGCAGTTGCGCATCGTCGCATCGAACGCGTGATTGAAGCGCTGCCCTCGCGAACTCTGAACGCTAAGAACATTCTCACCTGAAGCTTTTTTGACCTCTAGAAAGTACAACATGACTCAAGAAAGTAGAGAACAGACCTGAAAAGCCCACTGGTTTGTCGCTGTGAAGAGAACCTGGCTCAATACTAATTTTTGGAGTAATGATAAGTCAGGTCTCAGTTTAGGGGCCATTATTTTTCGGCCTAACATTGTCTGAAATGAGACTTAGGCTCCCTGGGATCACATGAATTAAAGTGAACCTACCTGTAAACCTAATCGATGGATTTAAAAGGTATGTCCCGCCGTGTAGCTTGAGAAAAATGGCTTGACCCCTCAAAGGTTGATCCTGTAAGAGCACAATCCAGCTTGATCGAATGGAGAGAGGCGGGCCTTGTGCAGTCTTCTGTGATGTGTTTCTCCTTCTAATACAAGGTAAAGGTCGCGCCTATAGAGAAAAATGGCAGACCTCTCTCCGCCTATGCAATCAGCGTAGACTGTGCCTTCCGGCTGTCTCTAGACTCTGAATAGATGCAGAGAGCATGGCGCATTCACGGTTGATTTTTCCTTACCTTGAACATTCCACTTCTCAGCTCAGTAATGTTGATCCGGACCTACGCTTAGTCAAGCTCGGAACTTTTTCAATGTCAGCTAAAATGTGGCTTTGAATTCGTGTAGCGGAATTTCTGGGTTCTTATTCAACGATTACGATTTCTCCCGCAGCTGCAGATGCAGTATGAACATTACTGAAGAAAAACTAGTTTCTCCAGTTAAACACTCCATTTATGACCACATTAAGTTGATTTTTGTCAAAAGTTCTCATAACGTTACTGCACACTTCCATAGGATTATGATGTTAAAAGTTTCGGGTTGTAGGAGCGTAAACTCCTCATTCAAACGTTAGTGGCACGTCGGAGCTAGAATTCAGAAACATCTTCCCTTGAGCCCACTACACGTGCTGGGCTATTTCGCTTTAGCGCGATTGACAGAACCTATTGGGGAAGCTATCACAAATTCGATGGTAAATCTTGGACAGCCATGGAAGCTGTTTACCCAAAAAGCGATGTTCCTTTCCAAGATGTTCCTTTTTCTATCTGAATGCAACCCTTGTGCTCCTTTTTTGGCTACTCCTGCTCTAGAACTCCTGAGTTTCACCTGCATATTCTATATTCTTAACACCAAAAAAATTATGCGCAGAGGCCGAAGTTATGGCGCAGTAGACGCTGATCACATGTGGTCAGGCGGTAACACTGTGGTTTCACAACGTTCTACACCTCCGAGATCCCTCTAAGATTCCAAAACGAAGGCGCGTATCAGTGAGGGACGTACAATTGCGGCTCTAACCCCGCCCAGATGATCGGCGTGGACTGAAGATCTTGCATGCATTGCGACTGATGTTCGATGAGTATCGCAACTGATTCTAATCAGCTTCCCCCTGATCCGTGTGACGCTTTTTGCCCCTTCCACCTCAAAAGATACAGTTTTCGATTCCACTCGAATCAGACTTGGTAATGTACCAGTAGGGTGGAGTCGGAGTGGAACCTGCTTACTCAGCAGATTCTTGATTGGCTCGCAGGCCAGTCCTATCTTCTCTTGAACCCTTTGATTGGCTTTTACTGCTGACCGTGATAAGAATTGGCGAGCCCATCGAGAATCCTCCCCCGCGCTAGGCAACTACTTCAGTCCTTCCATAGAATAGAGACATCTATTTATAATTCAGCTGACCTCATGGGCGCGTTTACAAATCAGCCTGGGGGGGGTCAGCCGACTGAAGGAAATTTCTACCAATAATTTTCTATCGAAGTAGAGTACATGGCGCATCTCAAAAAGGAATTCTTCAACACCGAAGTTCGTACTTTCTTACTTTCCAGATGTCAAAATCAACGATGCGTTCAGAAGATGTGGCTCTGCGACGGAGATGACGACTGTGGTGACAGTTCCGACGAACAGAACTGCGGTAAGTTGGCCATTCACCGGAAAATAGTTCCTTCTCACTAACAGAGAAGGGGCTGGGTCATCAAAGCGCAAAACCTTTGACGCGCTTGATTTCTTCCGAGGAATTTTTTTCAAAGTTACGTTGACGAAACATGAATTTTTTTCAAAGTTACGTTGACGAAACATATCGGTGAACAAACCTGATGTTCTATCTGATAGCGATAATTTAAGGCGAGAGAAATCGCGATACATCATGAACGATTAGCCAACAAGATATCATATCATATCACTGCCACCGTTGTAATGCACGTAAGAATCGAAACAGTCACCTGCGAAGAATTTTCGGTAAAAACTCTATTTCAGTGAGTGGCAAGAAAGCGTGTGTGAATGCTCAACTGAAGACAGAATTCCCAGTGATCTGATCAGCTGGCAAGTGTCATCATTCATTCCACTTGGATCGGAACATATGAACTGCCGTGATGGCAGTGATAGGGTGGTTGCCCCCTCTTACCCCTTGCTCCAGAGATAATCCAAGTTCCATTTATTGTATCGCGGTAACAACCACGTTTTGACCACCCGGACAACAACCAAGCTGCCATCAAATCCCACCTCTCCAACTATCAATGCAGGGGAGTTTTGGACGTTGGATGGTGGACAACTCAAGAAAAGTTCACTTTACAGCTTCGCGTACCAGAAGCCTACATTAAATTGCCGTTCTCAAAAACTGGGCTCCCGTCTGTATCACCTCTTTATAGCTTTGATATGGATACGGAACGCTCACTGTGTACCAACGCCCTCGTATGTTCAATACCTTTCTCTTCTCTTACAGGAATTGATTTGGGAAGACCTCCCCTCCCCCCTCTTCAACTAAAGCTAAGACAGTTCCGTCGATCGAGTGCGTCCGGCGAAATACTCCATGGCATCCGTTTGTCTGCATTCGCAGGAAGCTTCTTCCCACTCGACATAAAGCGAGGTAAAGAAGGTGGAGCACGCTTTATTATGCCAGAAAATGGCTACCACGGCGTGATGTTGCAACCATTGCAACTGCAATTACTTTCACTCTGCAAGGCAACGGCTTACAAGCGGAATTGCGTATGTACATAGCGTTGTCTGGAGCGTCGTAGGGGGATTTCCTATGCTCTTGCCAGATTTAGTGTCACGCTGACTTGCTGTTTGGACTTGTCCAACGTCCGTCAAACTCTTCTAAGTCGCCGGCCCCACTGCTAAAGGGGCTGCTCAGTGTTCCCAAGGCTTTCCTTCGCTTCTTTCTCTATTGGGGACTTACTTAGTGCTTGTGTTTGAACTTGAGGATGCTTCCTTAATATCAAAATTTTGTCACATCATTATGAGCTATTAGGCAAAGTTATCCAGCAACTGGGTCATAATTGACGCCAATGACAGATGTGTAATAATCTGGCATTGGCGAAGGTGGCGCGGTCGATCAGCCCAAACAAGGGAGCGGCTAACTGGTCGCGGTAATGATCCGACCGATAAATCCCTCATGTCCAACTCAGTTGGTGGCTGCGACCCAAAACACGGCCGTGGTGTTAATTACCTTCCGATGAACAAAATTAGCGCTGTCTCAAGTATGTTGTAGGGTGGAGCGCGACTATGAGCAGTTTCAGGGACCGGTTCAGATCACTCATCACCAGCCCATCATCATCGTCATCACCATCATCACCGAAGACGGTGTGCCTGTGTGTGGGTGTGATGGTCGATCTGTCTGTCCTGGGTCGATTGCAGGCATGGAAATGAACGGAGAGCTGAGAGAAGCAGGAATTTCGCGAAACGCCGCAGCGCAATCACTCACTGCAAGAACTATCCATCGATAATGAATATCGGAGATGAAGAAGAAATCCCCCCATACGATGTGCAACGTGTCGGCGGTGGCGCTCATCGGGCCAATATCAAATCTTCACGCGCTCGAAAAGGGATTCTTCAACCGCGATTCAATTGATTTATAAGACCATTATAGGATGAGCGGATCACGCTGGAACAAAGGGTTGAACACTGTTCGAACTGTCCCTTTCCTTTGCAGAAGGGATGACTGTTCAGATAAATTCATAGATGATAAATCTTCAGCGTCGATAATCCCTTTCGGATACGCCACGCACTTGATCATTAATGAGTATAATTGGTGGGTGCGAGTGATGAGTATCTCGTAGGGGCCATAGTTTCCCGGATAATTCTTCAGCATCGATGATTTTCCTGAACTACGTCACGCGCTCAACCTCCGACACCAACTTTTTTTGGCTCCAAAAGGTCATAAGTCCAAATAGTAAAGTCTTTGCCAACGGTACCAGTTTTGTCTGATTTGGTCAGCCCATTTTTGAGATGCGACACGCAAACAAGTGGCTTGTGGAACGATTTACAAGGGCCAGCTGCCACAAGGGCAATGTCTGATGGCTCAGGTTGATTCCCAGAAGGTACTGCTGGGGATACCTATTGAGGACCATCGTTTGCCCTGACAAACCTTCATAATCTAATTGTTTTCTGATAATCGACTTCTGATAATTGACAATCTCTTCGGGATGCGCCGCGCATGTGATACCGATTAAGGAGTGTCTCGATGGTGGCAACCATGCTGTGCGGCGCGTGGATAAACCCTTGGCGCGATTACCTCTGTATGGCCTTGGCATTCAACCTTGTCCCAAGCCAAACCGGATTTTTCAACTCCGAAGGGTGCGATGGATTACCACAAGTTGCCCACCCTTTTCTACATTGAAATTTTCCGAAGGATAACCGCATTTGAATATTTCTTAACTTTATATGGATCCGGTTCCAGCCCATTCTTATGAGGTCTTATGAGGTCACTCGGAAATTATGGGCCCGCCAAAGTTTGCTGGTCAATATTAATGTTATATGCAGCACATTTGTAGTAATTTCTGAATGGAAAACGATTGCCGCCGCATCCCAAACACACCTGTGAGAGCCTCTCCACTCACCCACGGAGCATTCGGGAAACTCCCGCATTGTGGAGCTTATTATCCAAAGCGCCAACAAGAATATGTGCTCTTTCCAAACTCCAAAAATGGTCACCAGAAAAAGACCGAGTAGTTCTGCGTAGACTAGACAACGGGTTTCTCCATGGAGTGTCTTCCTATCGTTAGGAGTCTCATCACTCAATGAGTCGTTTCTTTGTCGGTTGGCGTGTTGGCAATGGGTGAGGAAGAAATGCTAACTCAAGAAAGAAGCCGGTTTGGAGACAAAGGTAGTAAGCATTCATTTATACCTTGACTACTCGAAAAGTATCTGCTGAGAGATTAGAACAAGCGCCTAAAAAGCGTATAAGGACCCCACTAGGTCTTCAGCTAAGTGCTTGCACCCGAGTATAAGAAAGAAATGAATAAATAATTCCCCAGGCAACTTTTTTTTTCTACCCGCTGGTCCCCTTCCCTTCGAACCCCTGAGTTCAAAAGAGTAAAGCCCTCAGTTGTGGATTCTCGCTAACAAGACAGGGCTGTTCCCCTTAGCAATTTCATTTTGTCTGCGCCAGAATTGCATCAAGTTCAGCCTGAGCAAGCATCACATATAAATCTTCAACTCATTGGGCGCCTTTGTTTCGTCTGCTCGTATCAGGAAATAACTCAGCAAAATGCCTTACAAGCCGCCAGCTGTTCGCACCGTAATTTCGTCCGTGACGCTCCGTCATCTACGTGAGGTTTCTAGCCCTCAAAGCTGAAGTTTTTCCTCGAGCTGAGTCATCAGGGCAACTCAAGCGCTTGACGATTTTCAATGCGATGGATCAGGTTACATGAAGAGAAGATGAAAAAGAAGATGGAAAAGAGATTTGGAGCTTTTCGTAGGCGCTCGGGGATGTAAACTCCACGGCTTTAGCCCACCTCACAGAGGGTGACAAAATGCAACTGGGATAGATTGTGTGCTTTGGGTAGGTAGAGGAATACGTAGACGTAGGTGATTTTCACTCTGGGAATTCATCGTGTAAGTGGCTGTATTAGGCTACCAGCCTCCAACAACCACACTTTGGGGAACCCCGAGTGGAAGGTGTGTAACCCTTCAGAACGCCGTAGTCCTGAATTGGTGGTGCGATTATTCGCAGATAGTGCAGGTGCCGAAATCGCATTTGCCTTGAATGGCCGAGGAAATTAAAAGGTAAAACGCCGTGGGAGGTAGATAAGCGTGTAAGACTAGAACTCCCCCGACCAGGATCATGTACAAGTCGGACGGTCTGGAACATGATCTAAATCACTGTTAAGTTGATTAGTAGGGAAAATGGTCAGGAAAATGGTCAAGGATGACTGTCATGGTCCCAAGTGTCCACTGCTGGTGCTGCACACTATCCGGTACAGGACCAAGCATCCGTCGTGGTCGTATTTGGTTCTTGGAGGGCGTAGGTCGTAGTTGGCTTTTTGGAATATAATATATTCTAAACAGTCGTTTTTTTGTTCCAACAACTGCTGCGCCCACATGGGCATGGCGCGACAGTTTGCCTTGTTCTGATAGTTTAGTAACTACGCTCTCATCCCCGCTCGGCGGACATTGGGAGAGGGAGGATGAGGTTATGGGAGAGTCGCATCTGTAAATGGAGGGGGAATCGTGGAGAAAAAACTTTTGCACTCCATCCCAGACCCTGGTCCCTTAAGGACCAGGTTAAGGACCAGGGTCAGGCGAAAGACTTGTGCGACAGTTCATCGCTGTAATAACTCAACACGGAGGCCATTAATCTTGAAGGGAATTTAGAGGACACTTTGTGCAAAACTGGGAAGGGCGGATAGACTTACCCTTGAGCCGGACGTGGTGTACTGGCAAGTGGCACGCTCACCACGCGCGCAACTCGGTGTCAAATCTTGGATAGCTCCTGCCTGGACCAAAGGGGACCTCTACCCTCCCCCGAGGATGGTGAATCGGTCCCCGCAAGTCATTGTATAGGGCCACATCGCATTCAATAAGCCACTACGATTCTGAATGGAAGTAGAATGCGTGCCGCATTCCACAAAGGGATTGAATAATGGCGTAGTTTTTATCCTTTATTAGATGCCGCTGACCCCGTCCTCACTCACAGAAGTTATGGTCACATTTGGGATCCCTTAGAATTTCTAGCCCTTAAATTTCTATCACGGCAAGGAAATCGATCCCCAGAAAGACATAGTCAGACCGATTTTTATCACGACAAGGAAGTCAGTCCCTCAAGGACATGATCAGTGCTGATTCCCAATACAGAATCACGCGATTCTAGGGCACATCATAGGAGCAAAAGTCATCAGGGGAGAGATTTCAGAAGTTTGCAGAAGTCTGGTACCGTACGATTTCGCCTTCTCTTTCAGACCGATCGATCAGGGAGCTTACACTTGTGAAGCGATAAATGTGAAAGGTCGAGTGTTGGCCACTCCTGACTGTATTGTTCGAATTGTGAACATCCCCGCACCGGAACCACCACGCCCGCAGGTCAGATGCGATCCCCACGGAGCAGTGTCTTCGTATCCAGACCACACTGGTACATGTCCTTGCAAGGTAAGTGCACCACCAGTTATTCCACTAATGTTTCATTTCCGACATAACCCTTTGATTCAGCCGCTTGTCACTGGACCCACGTGCAGCGAATGTCGCCCCGGTTCATTCCATTTGCATGAAAAGGCACCTCAAGGATGCTTGAAATGCTTCTGCTTTGGAATCACCGACAACTGCCGCTCCAGCAGTCACTACAGGACTCAGGTATGGACATTTTTGATTCCGATTTGGTTCTGTATGTTCGTTCTTTGTTCATTGTCTCTCCCGATGGATTCACTCTGAACAGATTTCATGGCCATTATGAACTAGCTCCTCCTGGCTCTTCTTATGTTTTTGTAGCTTTGTAATAGGTATGCTTGAAGTAGGTATTGATTTTACGCTTGTGCCATCGACATCGATTTCCTGGCACACACCCCTAGTAAGAGTTAATAAGATGATGGCGAGGTTTTCGCTGAAATTTGTTCTGTGACCAGTGATCATTTCGACATCTTGAGCCCCTACAGAACGTGTGGTTCTTGTCTTTCCGTTTAATTACCCGGGGTTTCTCAAGGAGTGGATAGTGAATAGTGGGATGTGAGCATAAACCTAAGGACCGTGCATTAGTCGCGGCTTTGTCTAGGCTAAGATGGGCCATTAACACGGGCTCTGAAAAACCTAATAGCCGAGTCTCGGTCCATGTTAATGGCCTAGGATCAGAAAAACGACCCTAAGGCCGATTGAATTTGCAGGTCGGTTTTTCTGACCCTAGGGCTTACACGACTCTCAACAAACGGTTTTTTTTTCTGAGCAAAATTGGGGGACTTGTAAGAAGGAACGGGTGGATAGCTGCCACAATCTAAGACGATGGTACGTAAGATGCTGGAAGGAGAGGGGTTGTACGGGGAAGGCCATTCAAGTGTGTTCTGGGAACAACAGTTGATCTTGCACCTAAGGAGGAATTTTATAGATTCGTCGTAGGATACCGCCGCTTGGTGACAAGCTACATATTTCAGTAAGACAGCAAAGTTGTACCTGCTGATTTTGGTGTTGACGCCTGCCAGGCTGTGAAGACATGAGTATGTCTTACGTTCTATGTGGTGCTGTTCCCGGCAGCATCTCATTTACTCATCTGAATGTGTATTAACAATGTGAAACTCTAAAAGTTTATTCCAAAAAACTCAAAAGACAACAAAAGTCTCAAAAGTTTTTTAAAATATATCTTATCGCGCCTGCGTAGCACCTAATATGCGGCTGCGTGGCGTAGCACCGAAATATAGCCAGATAAGATATATTTTAAAAAACTTTTGAGACTTTTGCTGTCTTTTGAGTTTTTGGAATAAACTTTTGGAGTTTCACATTGTTAATACACATTCAGATGAGTAATGAGACTCCGGGACAGCACCATACTCCGATGTCTCCAACACCTGCAGCGTCAACATCAAATCAGCAGGTACAACTTTGCTGTCTTACTGAAATATGTAGCTTGTCACCAAGCGGCGGTATCCTACGACGAATCTATAAAATTCAAGGGTGTTGCTTTTTTTACGAATTATTTCCAATGGCAGGGCGTGCCCTGTCCTCTAAGATCATGACCTTCTTTGCTTGAGAAAAGCCATTTCACTTTAATTTCTCGAGAAGAGCTCTTCCAATTTTCTTCCAAGTGCTGCCCACAAGATCACAGTCTTTTATTGTGTTTTTGTGTCCTGTTTGCTAAATGAATTCCTAATCAGTGTATTTCTACGTCGTTTCAGGATTGCAGCCTTGCTAAGTGTCGTCTTGTTTCTGTGTCCTCAATGAGGAACGTGTATGTCTTTATGTGGTTATGAAATGCACCCTGTTTTAATCCCCTTTAGACGTCAAAAGCGCATTTTACGCCCGCGCAAATTTTAAGCTATAAAGGAGAAAAGCACCAATGAAAGGCGCAAATCAGAATGACTCCGCCCATATGATTGGCGCGAAATGTGTTTGTGATGCTGCTTTCACAGATATGTTTTACGTCCCAATTTTCTTGTGTGCTTACAGGCAGTGGGCACCATGGAGAGGGGCGGGCGGTCAATGCCGACGTCATGTTGGTGGAGGTCGCGAGAAAGCTTCTGGCCAACGCGTGCTCCGGTTCACCAATACGTTGACACGCTCCAGCCCAGTATTTGCCTCCCTTCAGAACCCATGGCGTATTGGCTTCGTGCGCGCGTCTAATTGGTATCCCTTCATATAACAACTCTCAAAACCAGACTGATCCGAAATGGGAAATCAGGCTAACGTGTATATTTCCCATAAAACTTACATCTCTTTTCCTTTTCGCCCCTATACTGTACCTAACAATCCATCCCGCAAGAACTAACGGCATCCCATTCCGTGAAACGTTGCATCCAGAAAAAGATCTGATTTAAGGATCGCCTGATGTTCGCCGGTAGCTCGGAAGGAGTTATCGCTTGTCAGCCTAAGAAGAAACAGCGGATTATCAGATCGTCATCTGGGGATTCGATTACTCCCGAACTGGATACCTTACCTCTACATCGCCACATGCGGGAACGAAATACTGGAGATTGCCTCAGCGATTCCTCGGCGATAAAGTGAGTTTTTCTTCTCCCATTAGGGAAAATAGCTCCTTTCACGCACTGCAGTTTAGGTGACTTCTTACGGAGGAAACATGGACATTGAACTCGAGTACAGCGGAACTGGTCAGATGAGTCGCGAACCCATGGTGGTACTGAAGGTAGGTTAGGGACTTCTTGAATAAGCTATGAAAATCTATGAATTTATGACTTCAGGGTAACCAGATTGTGATTGCCCATCACGTCAGGGATCAGGAGCGAATTCTGCTACCAGACCGACCTGTCAAAATCAGGGTGGAAACCTACGAGGTATGCAAACCTGTCCTTACTGCTTTCAGCTTTCATCCGAAATCTCTTCCAGAATAACTTTGTCCAAATGAATGGAGCTCCAGTCACTCGTGAAGATCTGATGATGGTTCTTGCCGACCTCGACGCCCTTCTCATCCGAGCTACCCACGTCGATCAGCAGTACTCTAGCAGGTAACGTTTCTGAACCCAGCGGTACTGTCAACAACTGGCCAAAGTTATTTGTCAGAAAGAGCTTGCGCTGGCCAGCACTTCTAGTGCTCCATGAAGGGACTCTTCCCTTCGCTCAAGTCATAATATGTTTTTGTTATGTTATGGTTTGTTTTTGTTTGATCAGTGTTTATGACAAAGAGGTGCTCGGCGAAGAAATCATCGCGGAAGACCTGGTATGGAGGAAAACGGGACCATGGCAGAGCACTAGCCTACCCTTTAACTGATTTAGCAGAAATCCTAACCCGCTAACCCTCATAGCACTGCTACTGCTTTCGTTTCACCCTTCGGTTTCCTATGGTACCAGCAAGTGCCTGCTTTGGCTGTGAACGATGGGAAAATTCTGAGATTTGGGAGAAATTCCTCTTACTCCGCACCCTCTTATTAACTGTTACCTAGAAATACGCTGCTGAATCTTGAGTTCGCTGCGTCAGGGATTAATGGCATATTGGTTCTATGCAAAGGGGATGTATATGGCATATTGGTTCTATGCAACAAGGGATGTAAATTACAATAATGTGTAAAAAAGGAGAAGGAATAAATCCTCCGCCCATGGAATCCAGCTCGCGTACTCAACTTTTTCAGATTCAATTCGTAGTTTTACTGAATGGTTTTCATGGTCCAGCAAATAAGCGAGGTCTGCGTTTATCATACGTCCGCAAGAGTCCTGACACCATGGAGTCCGGCTCAGGAGGGTTAAAGAGCAATTGCCTGTCTGAGCCGATCCGGACGCTGTTGGCAAGCGGACCTTTTTGCTACTACTCTCAACGCCTCGCAGAAGACTAACCACTTAATGATCGTTCATCAGAGTGCTGGAATTTACATTGGGCCGTTGCGTGAACTGGGCGGAAGTGTGTTCAGTCCAAGAGATGAAGACTGCGTGCGGGCAAGGGCACGACGGGCAAGGAAGGTTGTGAACTTTATGCGAGTGGTGTGTTGGTCGGTGCAATCTTCGTATCTTTCAAGCGGATTCGTGCTCGCTTTCATCTCTCTTATAATGCGCTGTGGTTCCTGCGCTGAAAATTCGTGGTAAGATGAGCTCCTGAGGGACCAAAACCTGTTCTGAGAATCGGAAGACTCTAGATATTTCAGGGGTTTTTCCATATTTCCGTTGATGGTATGGCAAGGTCCCTTGGAGGGTGGTGATTTCGTTGATCTCACCTGAGTATTCCCTCCGAGCCGCGAGCCGCATCGAAGGCTCCTCCTCTACGCGATCCAGGTGAAAAGAGCGTGGGTTGGGAGATCTACGTTTTTGCATTTCGAGTGAGGTCGCGTGCGCGGCATTCGAACCAATACCTTTTTAAGAGCTAATAACTATGGAAATTCAGACCTCGGCGGTATACGAAGCTGCATCTTCCGCTTTCCGTGCGGTTGCGTATCGGCTGTGAACCGCAAGGCTGAAGGCGGGTTCCAGTCCCGTCTGATCTTTTGTCCACAACACTCTTGTGTCAGCACTCTTGTGATCACCTTCGGATCGCACACTGCGGCATTAAACAGCAGTCACCAAAACAGCTTCAAGACTTGGGTAGAGCATTCAATGGACTACTTGCGCAAAATTAGGGTTACCCGTACTAGGAAGAGATTGTGGGATTGCTGTCGTGGGTTAGGGTCACATACCAAGAACTCATTCAAACTGTAGGCTTAGGCGAAGGTCCAGGTTTCTGTTGTGGTAATCGTAGTCTTGCATAAGGAGTCCTTTGAATGGCCTCGGGGTTGTCAGTACCTTCAAATGACCTAATGTGGAGGTAGTACAGTATGTCCGGTGTTGGCTAACCAGGAAATACTCTGCTAGTTTGTGAGCATAGGCGCTGCTGGGATCTCCCATGCACCCCCATGTAAAAGCAGTGAAAATTCTTATTCACAATAATTTCATTAAACAGAAGCAGTCGGAAGCGTATGTTTATTTCTAAATCGAGACATTTCCAAGAATTAGAAAAGAATTAACACTAACCGGAAACTAGTCACATTTACTAGATGACTTGCCATAGATTAAGTGACAAATCGGATCATTCACAGGGAATAATCTGGCTCTGATGCAGAGCGTCGTCGCGTCGACGTGACGTCGATAAAGAAAGCGTATTGGGATTAGTGATATGTTATCGACCAGCTTAAGTTCCTCGATCCCCTCGATCCCCTCGATCAGGATTCGAAGTGCTATATTCGATGAGATGTTGCAACAAGGCGAATATGAAATGCTTCCAAATGATCACTCGCATCTCGCGCTCATGAACGTCCTCCAGCTCAAGATTGACTGAATACTGCTCGATGAGACTCTCGGCTAGACCGAACCATGTGCCGCGAATCTTTTGCTGTCCACTCGGCAACCATGTCACTCGTTGCTGGTTCGCCACCGCTTGTTCGGAGCAAATAGAGTCAGCAGTGGGCTTCTGGAAGACTGTCTGTTAGGAAGTAATAACGACTCTGGGCCTTCCCCCAATTCTTTAGCATCTGCCCATCACATGGGCTCTACATCATAAAGGCTGTACAACCACCAGACTGACTCCCTCATTGAGGAGTGTAGCGTGCTCAGCTACGAAGTAAGACCGAGGG